TCCTAGGTTCTAATTTCTAATTCACTATAATAGCTGAATCGATTTGTGGAATCCAAAGTCAAGCATTACCAACAGTCTACTTCACACAGATGTCTTTACCACCGATCCGCTGCAAGCAAAACGTGTATGATCAAAAATGCAGATGGTCGTAAGTAACTAAGATATTAGGTAGTGCATACCTAGAAACACAGATATGAAATTATTAGCTACAATATTAAATTTGTGCTATGTTGAAATGGTTAAAGTTGAGTCCTGTTGATGCACTAGGGACTAGGCTGTTGTTTGCAAATATTTTGGGAAACTTTTAGGACTGATTTATGTGATTATTGCGGGAGAATACTTAGCAGTATATGTGAATGTTTTGCGTTGGCGAATATGAGAGAAGTTTTAATACTGGTTAATGAGAGAGAATGTTTCGCACTGCCATACGTGGAAAATGTTTGGTTCCCGCAATAGGTAAGGGTGAACGGGATAAAATGTTACGGGCATGGATAATGGGAGAAAATATTGAGCGGTGTTGAATATTGGAGACTGTTGATTGTGGAGTGCTAGTGAAAGTAAGAGAATGTTTGGTTGTGGGTAATGCGGAAAGTTGGGGTTAACATTTTTAATGACTGATATTTATTCCCAGTTCGAATTCAGGCTTCTAGGCCATTTACTTTATTGTGCCGCGGAGATACATTTTTTATATATTTTTCCGTCTGGTCTGCATATACAACAGCAATGAAAATGCCCCCTCAGCAGCGTACAGTAAGTCAAATACCCCGTGCCTTCCTTTCCAATTTCGTTTACGCTTTTTTCAGATTCGTCCGTGTCCGTACCAAAGCTATCAGTTGCAAAATACTCGCGCCTCACGAACGCCCCAAGCTCACTCGGTCAATGACCGGATTCTAATCTGTCGCTTATTTCGCTGGTACAACCAGAGCGTAAAGCAGACACAGAGCCGCTAATTTACGCGCTGGGCGAGCTAAAAGCGTCTTTAATACTGAAATTAAATACATTCAAATTTTCGAAAGACTAGACGTTGTCATCGCGCCTGCTGATCTACCAAGTCTGCCAGTCGACATCATCGAGATCGCAATATCCGACCATCGGCCACTTCAGTGGGCACTAGCCTGGGCGGTGACGTGTGTACTCCCGGTGCCCGCGTATAAAACCGTTACCTGTCATCCGTAGTGTGATCTTGACGGCGATATCTTAAACGAATAACTGCAGTCGTCCCGATTATGTCGGACTGACTCATGGTTGGCACTATCAGTCAGTGACCTAGTGCAACTCTACAATACCGAGCTGACCTGTGCATTCAATGACCTCAGTCCAGCACGCACATTTTGGATACCCCAATGAGTCTCCTAGACATGGTTAGACGATGAATTTCGGGTCTCGAAGTGGGGGGTTCGACTGCTCCAGCGGGCTGTCTACCGGACGAACAAACGCGGCGATCCTGCTGCTGAAGCAGTTGTTGCCTCCACCTGGCGAGATGAGCTGGGCAATTATGTGGACCTTCTTCGATCTAAAAGAGAGTCATATGGGTGCCACAGAGTTAACGCTTAACGCAGCGACCATCAAGCGCTGTGGCGTTCGCTGGATAAACTCATAGGAAGAGGTCATACAGATGCTATGGGTGACGTAAGCCTGGAGAAATTCCATGCGGTTTTTGAAAACACAATTTTTGCTGTGCGAGCGTCGTCAGCCGATGCTCCGCCGGCAACATTTACGCCGTGCCCGTTCGACTGCGTGCTCCAATAAATTACTTGCGTCACAGATGAAGATGCCATCGCTGCCGTGCGCGCGATACCTAACAAGCAGTGTGCGAGCGATCCGCTGCCGACGTCGTTACTTAAGGGGAATGTCGTAACCCTAGCACTTTTTACGGTCGAACTTCTTAACCGCTGCCTCACAGACGGTGTTGTTTAGATGAACTTTGAATCAGCTTACATTACGCCTCTATTAAAACAAAAACAGACCTTGACATCATATCGACCCATACCCAACCTGTCGATTTTGTCGAAACTCCTGGAACGCATTGTGGTCCGACAGCTAAACAACCATCTTCAGCAGTCCGGTCTCGTGCCTCGCATCCAGCCCTCATATCCTCATCTCCATTCGACGGAAGCCGCTGCGCTGTAGGTGCTTTCAGTCATTCTGCGAGCAGTAGACCGCGGCGACATTACGGCACTGGCTTCACTCGACAAGTCGGCCGCATCTGACACGGTCGACCACACTACTTTATTGCGTGAACTTGACGTATCATTCGGCCTGCGCGGCACATTGCTGCGGTTGTTCGAAAACTATCTCAGCAATAGATAGAGAAGACGAGGAAAGTCTTCTTCAAAGTTATTGTTGTTCACTTGCGACGTAAAACAGGGATCAGTTCCCGGCATCCGTTTGCATCCGCAGACGTTCGTCGCGTTGCAGGACTGGATGTCTCGCATGGAAGCCGTCTGGAACTGGATGCGCTCTAACCGGCTCCCGCTCAGTGCATCAAAAACCGACTTTATTTGTTTTGCGACTGCTCGGCGCCAGCATCCGCTTCCGGCCAACTCTGCTCGCGTGGGCGACGAGTTCGTCATGCTTGTATCTTCGGTTCGCAACCTCGGCATTCTGCTAGACTCCGAACTTTCTATGAACAATCCCGTAGCCAAAGTCACCACCACTTGTTATTGCGCTATGCGACGAACACGTAGCGCCAGCCGCTGTCTCGCGAGGCCCCTATGGTGGCGCTCGTTCTGACCCAATTGGACTATGGTAATGCCACCCTCTGTGGACTTCCGACCACGGCACTTAATAAACTGCAATCCGTAATGAACGCCGCTACGGCGCGACTCGTGTGCAATTAGCGAAAATTCAACCACGTGACGCCGATATTGCACGATCTTCACTGGCTGCGCACGCAGCAGCGCACGCCATTTAAGGTCGCTGTACTAGCCTGTACATGACGTTGCTATGCTTTCACGGTCTGGCGTCCTTTTTTCTCGCGGTATATCTGCAGCGCATGTTGGATCTGCCTTTCAGAAGACGGCTGCGTTCGTCATCAACAGCGGACCTCGTCGTTCCATCTACACGTACGTCTATCTATCGTCGGCGACAGAGCGTTCCCGGTCGCCGCCGCCAGAACCTGGAAAAGTCATCCTGCTTCCCTAACATCGGCCCATTCTAGGCAGGTGTTTCGTCGACGCCTAATGATAGAACTATCTCGTTGAGCCAATAAATCAAGTGCTTAGTCATTTTTATACGTTTTCATCCTTTATGGTGTCTATTTGCTTTTCGCTTGCTATTAAACTTATGTGTAACGTGCCCTCCAAGTTTGTTTGAATCAGACACAACGATAACTGCTTCGTAGAATGATAACAATAATAAGCTATACTGAGCGGCAGCAATTCATGGCCTGTACTCGCGCATGAAGCACTACTTTTGCAATTGAACGCTTGCTTCTCACAATGTACTCTAACTTTATGAGTGGCAATTTTGGAAGTCATTTTGGAACCCTTGACTTGTTATAAGCTAAAAACTTTCTCTTGGATTGGTAGTTAGTGATGAAATTAGTTATAAAACTCTTCAGAAGAGCGTCTTTGTTATGACTCGAGCAGCATCGTCTGATTACCTCGCAACAAGCTGGATTTGTTTTTCAAGTGACAGGTAATGGGTTCTTCCGAAAGTGATCATTCAGTTGGGTAGTCATAGAAGCCGGAGCTTTATCAGTCGCCTTTTTGCCCCTAAATGTTTAAAAGTTTTGCTCATCAGCCAATAGCACAATCTTTTCAAAGTGAATATTGTATCATATTCCATTTTAAATTTTCATTTGATGAGGCTTTCTCTTAAAAAAGAGTTTCTTCATCTAACAAGGAATAAATCTTGGTGACCGAATAAATACGATTCGTTTGTGTAACCAAGAAATTCCAAATCGATAGTGGCAAGTTCGCATATTTGCCTGAGTTCAATGTTCCCGAAATGTAATTCTATTTAATAATACAGAATGTATTTCTTCCAAGTAAAAAAATATATCGCAATTAAATTTAATTGAAAGTTGCATCTGTTAATCAACATATGAAGTCCCAACGACTGAACTTTTTTATATCACCTATGATTCAGAAATTTTAAGTTATTACAATCAGTTTCTTACTGCATAATCTGCGTCTATGGATCTGAGGAATCAGCGCGTCAGTGTACATTAATTATTGCCTTCTCTGTTCGTTACCACCGAAATAGTTCTGTCATCCAGGCATTGAAAGAAAAACAAATGACTGAAAAAATTTGTTCAAATAGAAATGAGTGATTTAAAACGACACTCGAATTTTATAAGCTCTGGACCCGATTCTTCGGAAATGATCTCGAAAATTCCAATGCTCTGCACTTTCTATAGTGATCCTACTTCAAATTTTTATAGCCATTGTAATTAAAAATCTGAGAATCTGAGTGTCTGCATCTTGCCTTTGTTCAACATATTAAATTGCTACCACATGAGCTGGAAGTTCTCAGCTTTCATACGAGAATTTCACTCTGTAAACGTGATAGGTAAGGATTGTATGTGAAGCGGATATTGCCATGCAATAATTGAGGATAAACGACGAGTACAGCTTAAGTTTTTGTTAGTATTCTAATTTACATGGGAATGAAAACAGTACTTGTCTCAATATTTTTCTCACATCTTCCACTCGGCACTTACGTTCCAACGAACAGCAATTATCCTATTTTGTTCCATTATACCATTTCTCTTGATAAAGTATAAACTATCATGTTATCTGTAGCATAGTATGATTATATTCGTATATAGTTTAAGTAGTTGTAGAGTATACCTATCAGTTTTCAGATATCATCATTATATTATGATTATGTGTTAGGATATATTTTAATTAGTTGTAGAGTATACCTATTAGTTTCAGATATCATCAGTATATTATTATTATGTGTTAGTTATACTCTACAACTAGTGAAAATATATACTATCAGTTTTCAGGTATCATCATTCAACTTTCTTCATGGCTTCATATTTTACTCACAGTTCATGGAGAGACCGATCTTCTTGTGCAGAGGCTGCGTCTGTTTATTGTTGCTGGCCTCGCAAGTGAAGCTCTTGCTCTGATACGAGCGCCCGATCTCAGGCACGTCGAGGTCTGCTCTGATGTCGCCAGAACGCATCACTTGGCTCTTGGTGGGGAGCTTGATGCCATCCGACCACCACGACACGCTCGGCTGAGGCCGACCTATTGAAAGTAAGTGGCAACTTTAAACAATGAGTCGATTTTCATTTATATTATTAAAAATTTGGTATAAAAATTTTTTAATATAAAAATGTTTAATATAAAAATTATTTAAGATAAAAATTTTTTAATGTAATAATTTTTAACCTAAAAACTTTTTAATACAAAATTGTGTATTTGATTTAAAAAATTTTAAAACGGCCTTTTCCACCAATCCAAATATGTTGATTTAAGTAACGCGGCATTTGATGCGTAGAAAGCTAAATTAAATTAACAATTATTACTTAGGAAATAACTCTATTCTATGGATGAATTCGCCATGCTGATAGCTGCTGTTATCAATATAAGAATTTAGCTCAAGTTTTTATTTTTTATTTCTAGTTTGCATCGTAATAAATGCATTAGGTTCTCAATTCAATCAGGAAATGGATATAGCTCATTCACGATTATGCTCGATCATTTATACATAACGATCTAACTCAGTTTCCATATTGGTCATGATTTCTGAGGTAAAATTACTCACACAATGATTTATTGAAATATTTAGCGAAAAATGAAAATAAAAAGAAAATATTTATATTTATTTAATATGGCAGCAGTTCAAATTTCCACAAGTCACAGGAGACCGCCAACTCCTACTTGCTTTGTACATTCAGTTAATTGCTCTGGGCCAAAACATCATGTGTTTTGCCCTCCATTTCCTAAAAATAAAAGCACAAATTAAAGAACCAGTTTTTCCTAGAGCTTTTAATTGGACCAACTGCGGATTCCGGTCGATGAGAAAGGACCTAGACCTGAGTTTTTTTTTCCATATCTCATGAAAAATAAAGTCCGTTTCTAAAAGTTGGAATCGAACGAAGCGAACCACAGGGTCATCGGAAATTAAAAAAAGGCTTCATTTCCATGCCTTCCTGAAGACATGAAGCCTTGTACTTTTTGAAGCAGGAAATACGCCTATGAAGTTATAGTGATTTAAAGCATTGCGCAGAGCGCGAAGCAAGAAATGTCTGTTAGTGCCAATGTCTGTTAGTTCAAGGCACGGGAAAAATAGCAATATCGGCGTCCCTTATAAATAAGAAAATTGTTTCTATTATGTGAAGCAAATCGCATACTCAAGCTATATAGTACGTATCAGTTGTTATCTTATAACAAGTTATCGAAAACACAATCATACACCTGTAAATTGCTCATACACACCAAATGAGCAATTGCTCATCGCTCAAACCTCATTATTAATTAAATAGCTAAAAATAATTATAAACGTAGAGATTTTTATTATTGGTAACATTGATTACATTTTTCAGGACTAACGATTAGACCCTGAATAATATTCACATCAAAAACACTCGAATCATTTTAATTGATAGGTCACTGACACTGATTTTAGTATAATCAAGCGAAATTGAAAAAAATTACGATCAAATTTGATCAAACTGTGTTATTCGAAATGTTAATTTGAAGTTTTTACTGAACCTATAGCATATATTGAAATTTGGAGTGGAAAGATGTTTACTCACTTTTTTTTGCTTTTTTGCCAAAGAAGATTTAGATTCACCCTAATTTTTTATCTTGACTACGCTTTACATCGTGATTTACTTCTTCATTACAATTATTTTTCAAAATAAAGTAAATTTGGTAATTGTTTCCATGTATCAAAAGTTATATTGGTGAGATGAAGTTGTTACTAGCAGTGCTCTCGAACACTGATAAATTAAATCAGTTTCTGATGCATCAACTTCAGGTCATGTTTTGAGGTTCAAAACATTAAAATAAGCTAAGTTTGGCGGAATTTTTCTCTCAATTTAATTTGTCATGTGAATTATTATATTCTTAAAAAAATAGGGCGAAAACATTTTAATTAATTTAAGTTTCAATAATTTCGCACACGCTTCTTTGTAGCAAAATTTTTGACAAATTATCCTCCGTGCTAATTAGATTTGTTGAGTGTAAATGTTTTCATTTCATATACTAAGTAAATTCTAAACGAATTCCATTGAATGCGAATGCGGATTTATCTTAACTTGAAATATTTAAAAATAAAGCTAATTAAAAATATATTTTGAGTTAAAGAGACTCTGAACGAGAAAGTTTAAATAAATAAGTCTGCTAAAAACTCACCCAAGCTCAAGCATATTAGCCAAAATATGAGCGTAGAGCGTAAAAGTGATTAGAAGGAAAATTCACGATGTGATTAAATTTGAATTTGCGATTTATCTTAGTTGCGATGCAACTGAGATGTTAGAAGTTATTTTGAATTAGCTTGGTTTGTCATCATCGCCAATTGTTGTGTAAACATTCTCCATGTGACCTCGGGCAAATGATATGGCGTAGTATGTATGATATTATAGTCAATGATATGGCGGAGTATGATATTATTTAATGTTTGCATCAACCTGGACATCATATTCAGGACGAGTTCTTCCGTGCCCTCGCTAGATCAAAGCTTGTAGCTCTCTCATCACTGTAGTCCAGAACACAGAGCCCAGAAAATAAATACAAAATACGCCCAACTAATTGATATGATGCCTCAATTAAATGCTACAATCCAAACGCTTTCATGTCATTCTCCAGAAAAAGAGCTTGCAAGAAAATCCTGTCTAGCTCGTGGACAATGCAGGTTCTAGTATCTGGGTACCATTTCCTCAGGCGCAGTATATGATATGTTTGTCCATTAACTTAGCCTTCGTTATCAATCAGTGAAAATTTACTTATTTTATAAAAAATAACGTCAATATTTGCCTCCCTGAGAAAGTTATCTGGCCTAATTATAACAAGAGTTAACAGCCATAACTCATTTATTGCCGAAATTTATTCAGATCACCTGGCTATCATTTATTGATAAAATTCTGGCTCACTTATTGCGATAGGTGTAGGAGCAAAGAAGGAGTTTTTGGCCGGAACAATATCCGCTGACATGCGAAACAACATCTAAATAATTTGTCATTAAATTAATGTTAGAAAATTGACATCAGATTCTTCATTGCAAGAAGAGCCAAACATGCAAATATTTTCAATATTTAACAGGATTGAATCGATGTGCTTCTCCACTTTTAATCAAAATTAGCAGATAATTCAACTAAATCAAAATGCGATTGCAGGAGAAGAATTTGTGCTTCTCTTTAGTGGTGTAATGGTAATTATAAAATCACTTGTAGACTTAAATTTACATTATGCCATCTATCCAAAGATGCTTAAAAAGACTTAAAGATGCTTAAAAGACTTAGACTACCCACAGTCTAAGCAATCTGTTTTTCCCAATCTTCAAAACTATAAATAAATAATGCTGGAAAGCGCTGCGTGCAAATACTTGATTAAAGTGTGAATTAAAAATATTAAACTGAACCTTATGTCGGTGAAAATTATTATATTTTTAGGCAGTTTGTTAGGATTTCTTGTTCATTATTCCCGTGCTCATAACATTCGTGGCATGAGAAAGTTTATTACATCAGTCGGTCAGGTGGCAAATGACAGTTAATTAATGAGTGTGAATGACAGATTTTAACTCTAATATATTATTGTCATTCTAATAAACCATGATTACGAAGAAATATTCTTTCTGCAGCGAGGGCACATGATAAAATTTGATTTATCTTGACTGTTATTACTTGGTAAATGAGAAATCCTTTTTTAACTCGCATGTTGTACCGGCATCAAATATGAAGACCTCAAAGGAATGTAAGTTTTGCAAGTCTGAGTTCGTTACCGACAGAGTCTTCATCTTCGAATTACAACTTTCGATCCAGCGATATCTGTTGATAAGGAATTTATTTAGACGGTGAGCCCAATCAGTGGTTGTGAATTGGAAACTTTTGCACGGATCTATTTTGGGTTCAGGTTATCTGATTTTTCTTTTTGTGAGAAGTTTGTTCTCCGGTATTCAGAAGGCTGCTGCTTCTGAACGAAATTTTGCTTGCGCAAAAATATTTCTTTCCATTCATTTAGATTTGAATGGACTAGCCGTAAAACTTTAATTGAAATACTAAGCACTTGGGAAATTCCTGCAATAAATTCAGCAAAAAAATATTATAATGAAATACAATGCAAGAATATATTATTGAGGTTATTTGCCTTGCCATTTGTTTTCTTCCAGGATTATGTTAGACCAATTTCATATAAATATATTAATTTTAGCGTTTGAATAAATGTCATTATATATCAAAGATAGAATTTGATAAATTATTAAAAATTTATGGCAGGAATTTTCTATAAATTTTCATATTTCGTGTTCGGGGCTATTTAGGAATCAGGTTATTTTTTTCATCTAATCACAAATGCGTAGAATCTAGATTTTTCAGCACGTCTGGAAACTACGATCACGGAAAATATATATAATTATGATGTATGTTATATCTCTTTATATGACAATATTGACTATTACCTTGCCAAAATTAAAAACCGTGCAAACAAAACCAATTAAAAACCTTGCAAAATTTTAAGAACAGTACAGTTACTTAGGCAAGAATAATTATTAAGACAAGAACGACTAAGGGAGAAACAGTTGAGAATAAATTAAACTAAATATTTTCAGACGTAATATAGGGTCATTGCTAGCCCTAACGGCAAATGACGTTGAAACAACGTTGATTACGAGTTTATTTAATTGAAACAAGGTTTATTGAACGTTATTTCAACTTCAGATGCCTGGTAGGAACGAGACCATGGGCCATACTTTCAAAACTCGCTAAGTGAACGTAAGTCCTTACGCTCTATTTTCTTGCCTATAATTGGTGGATTTTGCTTGAAAGGCCGTCAATGATTGGCTGATGAACTTACGATCTCTTAACTTTTTTTTGAAAGTATAGGCCCATGTAAGTAAAAGACGACCTCCATACCTCCTCTGACGACGCAGTAGAGCTGTAACGGGGCGCCCTCGCTCACAGGACCAACGAGGTCCCCCGACACAATCTCGTCGGTCAGCGTGTACACGTCCAGCCTCTCTGGTGGCTCTGGGGGTGAGAAGTGGGTTACAAGGGAGGTTATCTAGGTAAAAAATTTAGTAAGAAATCTAAAATCACCGTTAATGAAATGCATGAATGAAAGTTCATTTGAAATAAATCGAGGCAACAGCTATTTCGGGTCTCACAACCCGCCTCGTCTCTGGTGGTTCTTGGGTTGAAAAACCATTTCAAAGAGAGGTTATTAAGGTAAAAAATCGAAATTAATAATGTAGAAAATGCACGAAATAATCTTCTATTGAGATAATTCGAGGCGACAGTTATTACGGGCCTCACGTAAGGCCTCTCCAGAGGCTCTAGGGCGAGAAGTCGGTTGCGGGGACGTTATTAATTTAAGAGAATCTATAAATCAACGTAATCTAAATGCTTGAATTAGTCTTCCATTGAAATAAACGAATTCACAGTCATTACGAGGCTCACGTGCAGCTTTTATAACGGCTCTGTACTCTGTAGGGGAAGGTATGAATTTCTTGCGTGTCAATTAAGCTGGAAAATTTTTAAGAATATTGAAGCTATGTATTCATCATCTCAATACATGTGATTCATCGCATGATGAAGCGTTCATCGTGAGCGCTCAGACATGAACCATGCGACATATTGGCAATTGGGCGAATTCGGGAAAATAATTACACTTAATGTTAGAAAAATAATGATAAAATTAGGAGAATTAGTATTGCTGCCCTAAAATAGAATACAATTTACGATGAAACTTACATGTGATAGAAAATAACAATGAAGTCAGTATTTAACCCAAGTGTTGCATGTATTGTTTCCTAAGATTGAACATTTGTGAATCATTTGATACCAACAAGGAGCGTTGTAGCTGCGCTATTTGTCCGTCATTTGATTACCAGGGGCCATACTTTCAAAACTCGCCAAGTGAACGTAAGTACTTACGCTCTATTTTCTTGTCTACGATTGGTGGGTTTTGCTTGAAAGGTCATCAATGATTTGCTGATGACCTTACGATCTCTCAACTTTTTTTGAACGTATGGGCCCAGGTTTACGCTGGCAACGTGTAGACTGAGCTGCGTTGACTCCCGGATTTTTTTTAGTGATCCGCGTTTGCCGTTGCAGTGGCAAAGACTCCGTAACGTGTATTCATTTGAAATGTCATTAGTTTTTTTAACCTCAACTACCTGTTTTTCTTGTCTAGTGATTTGTTGCAACCGTTGTACCTCTCACGATTTCTTACGAGTGGTGGGTAAGCTTATTATCAGATCGTTAGACATTTGTCTTCCTAGTTTATGCTGCTATAAAGTGCTGCGATAATACTAAGCATTAACTGGCTCAATAACAATGGCTGGGATGTAAATTATTTCACTTTATATATCTTTCCTCGTGGTCCTTGGATTAATGCTGTCATATTCCACAATTAGTTGCTCAATTGTTTCTGTGATTTTAGGGTGAACTTCCTATTTATTTTCCCGTGCATCTGTTGGTTATTTCTGGTGGAAGTGGGATCTTTATTTTAAGTCTACCTACGTATCTGAGCATCATCTGAATGCGAAGTGAAGGAGTTGAGTTTTTCCCATTGGTCAAATGCAACAGTAACTGGCGCTGAATTTTTGAATTGGACGCTCGCAGCCCAAACTTCGTCAAGTCGACCGTGAAAACAAGCGTATGCGCTGAGGTTGACTTCGTCAGTCATCGACACGCTAGTCTCGATGGGCATGTTGCGAACCTTCAACCTCCATAAGGGTACGCACACAGTGAAAGCAGGTTGCCAGCGTGCTGGTTACCTGCTCAGGCTGGCGCCTGAAACCATAGAATACAGAAGCCTATTCGTACAGGTTTTCACTGTGAACACTTACATTATTATCCTATGTTCATTCTTGTGGCAGGTTGGAGCAGGTTGCCCGCGCGGGCAAACCTGCTTTCACTGTGTGCGTACCCTAGACTGGAAGAAGATACGCAGGACACGCCAGTGCGGCCAAGCGTGACCATCATTGTATTTGTTTAGCATTAGGTTAATTGTGTTGCTTGGTTTGTGAAGATACTGGTAGTAAGATTATTAATTTTTTTGTGAGTGGGCCAGCCAATGGACTTTATTTTAGCTACGCAATAAAATCTTGCAAGTCTCAACTCTGATCGAAACCGGTTTTAATTCATTTTCAATATCGCGAACCTAATGGACGGATAGCCAGTGTATGATGATGCTCTCCCGCAACAGCGTGTTTATAGCTAACGTACGAAGTGATCACTTCCTTTGTACCTCATGAAAGTGAAAGTTCCAAATTAAAAATCCATAAGTATGCCTGTTGGGAAAAATTTAGACTGGCAACTTCTTACCAGGATAATTTGCTGAAGGGAAAAATATGAAATGATACATGTTTCAGTGAGGTTTTAAGTGTAAAGCTGTCAGGGAAAGCCTTTCACTATAATAATTTCATCGATAGTTAGGTTGCGTGTATTGTCATTTCGGTTTTTGAGTAAGCTATTATATAAGTCACCTCGTGTAGGCCGGTCATGTAGCTTGTCATTTCTATGTGACGTAAAGGTTAGTACATGGATTGTTTATCGTGTTAATCTTCCATGTTGATGTAGTACTGGAATTCTGGTGATATTAAATATTATTATTAGTATTAGTTTATTATTTATGTGTTATAATCATTCGTTAGTGTTGTGTTAATTCAAATCCATAATTTGTATTTATTCGTGCTTTTTCAGAGGGGCTTCTAACCTGTGACCTGATTACGAATTAATAGGCAAGGGCTAGCGAGACTCACGGCTTATAGTTTTATAATTTTTTTTGTACTTATCATTCATTTATTATTACAGTTCTTAATTTATCATTTTATTCATCCTCTATTTGCGATCATTGGTCAAATGTCTGGAGTCACTGAAAGCCTATTTATTGATCAGTCCCCGACAATACCACCCTCGGAGGTCGACTTGAACTATAGATTAGCACCTCGGCCCAGGTTAATTTAAGTAATAACTCAGTGACTGCAGCTCAATTTCTGTTTAAAAAAGTGACCTACTCTCAGTAAGCGCTCTTCCTAGCAGCACGTCATCTGTCTTTCATTATTTTTATGATGTGCATTGGTGCATTATTTTTATCATTTTGCCTAGAACTACTTATTAATTTTTTCAGTTAGAGGCTGACTCTAATTCACTTTCATTCGTCATAATGTGCTTGCTACGGTCTTGAAAAGTCTCCATGATTTCAATCACTTCCACTTTTGCTTGTGGAAGCTGTTTGTGACAATACATAAAGCTGTTTTTTTCTAATACATAAATACGCCGAGTTTAAGAATGTAAACACATGAACTTTATGTAAATTGAGATGGCGAAGTAGAATGCAATGTCTGGAGGCGGCAGCGCGTGCCTAGACCGCTTATATGCACGCTCGATTATTTATTAGGGACTTGGATAAATGGGGCACCGCAATCCCGAATAAATAGAGTTAGCTGTCCTCTTGGTAATTGTGTCTCATATTTATTGATGGTCAAGGCAAGTCTGATATTTATTCATGGTCAAGGCAAGTCTGATATTTATTGATGGTCAAGGCAAGTCTGATATTTATTGATGGTTAAGGCAAGTCTGATATTTATTGATGGTCAAGGCAAGTCTGATATTTATTGATGGTTAAGGCAAATATGATTGAGAGATTGACTCATAAAGTGAAATATTCTTGTTTATAGTAGGAGAAAATAAAGATGTTCACTTTTTTATGATAATCAAAGCCGCCTGGGCATATAACATATGGATTGAGCATTTCATTTAGCTGTGTTGCAGAAGACGACAAGAGATAAAAAAACAAATGCTATGTGAAAACAGAGAGGTAACAACCGACAAGATCTATTATTTACTAACGCCAGCTTAAATCACGTTGTGAAATCAATATCCGTAATATAAACAGTATAACTATCTAGGTAAATATTCACGTGCAGTTTATATTTGGTTCACAATGTCCTCGGGCCGCAGCATTTAATTTTTGGATATCCTGATCATTCCATGCATGACATTAGGAAGGCACTACTTGACTGCATCCGATGGCAATAATTAGTCATTCCTGCCATAAAAGTTCAAAGGAAGTCGACATATTTCGATCCAGCTGAGTTATCGTTGAGGTAGCGACGGGCATCATATATGAGTCTGGGCATCATATGAGTCTGGGCATCATATGAGTCTGGGCATCATATGAGTCTGGGCATCATATGAGTCTGGGCATCATATGAGTCTGGGCATCATATGAGTATGAGCATCATATGAGTATGAGCATCATATGAGTATGGGCATATGAGCATGGGCATGGACATACACCGTATATAATACACCGTATGGGCAAATAACTGGATTTTGCAAGTAAAAACAAGGCATTGGTCGTTGAATTGCTACATCGTTATCCTCTTTAATGTAAATGCGTCAAGCTTTTTGCTCTGGCATTCTTTAAGTGATCTTGAGCAGTGCAATGACATCGCAGTGACAAAATTATTCTCCGTGCGTGTAAAAATGGCGAGCGATTAGCTAGTGAATTTACGACTCATGCTGCAGCTCCTTAATTGAGAGGTTCTTCAAATTTTGCAATACCGTAATCTCTAATTTTCCACGGAGCTGTTGGCTATTTCACGTCAGTTGGACTCTAGGTAAACAAGCCGGCTGACCCGAATAGTAATTTTCGTTCGTCGCTGTTAATTATCGCCTCTCAGACGGTATTCCAGGAAGGCAGTTACAGGGTCTGACCTACTCCAGAACACGAAGTGCACCCATGCCTTCCACGCCCTGCATGACAACTCGTGTGAGGCACGCGAAAGATACAAATTTCTCAAAATCACCAAAAAATATGGAACGCAAGCATTGAGATCTTTCTAAAATAGCCGTTCTCTGCATTACGGGTATTCGGTTCTACATATATCAGCAACTAGCTCTAAACGATCATTCCATCTAAAAATTAAAAAAATTCCTTTAAATTCGGACCCTGAAGAAGAAATCTTTAAAGCAATAAACCCAGATCATGCAGCTACTTCCGGTGCAATTGTTGAACTCACAATCTTCATCACCAAAAAGCAAAAATTTTTCGTAACCAAGCCACTACACAAAGTAGTCCGCAGTAAATTTACTAATTCCAGGAAAACGAGTCTGACTTTGCGTGCGGCTTGCTGTGAGGCATTATCAAGATCCACGCAACATGTCAAAAGCATCAATAACGGACAGGTTGCCCATGGTGTTGTGTGAGGTGTTACACTCACCAATAACGGACAGGTTGACCATGGTGTTGTGTGAGGTGTTACACTCATCAATAACGGACAGTTACACTCACCAATAACGGACAGTTACACTCACCAATAACGGACAGTTACACTCACCAATAACGGACAGGTTGACCATGGTGTTGTGTGTAGGCGAGGTGACGTAGTCCACTCTGCAGGTGTAAATGCCCTGGTCGGCAGCGGTGACAGGACTTAGCACCAGGCGCGCTGGTGCGCTGCTCGTGATGAACGTTCCTCTGCCCTCCAGCACTTCATTGTTCGGCTGATGCGTGCCCGACTCTCCCCGCGCGTCGTAACTGGTAAAGTAAAATTGACAGAAGATTATTAAACTGATTTAGCAAAAGATTATTAAACTGATCTATTACAAGATCATTAAACTGCTTTATTAAAAGATTATTAAACTGATCTATTACAAGATCATTAACTGATTTATTAAAAGATTATTAAACTGATCTATTACAAGATCATTAAACTGATTTATTAAAAAATTATGAAACTGATTTGTTAAAAGATTATTAAACTGATTTGTTAAAAGATTATTAATCTGAATGAACTCGAGGCAGGCGATCCGACTTTACTTTGAAAATAAGTCGTTATGAATGCCAAAATCCCTAATTTCACCGAGTAAAATAATGTCGAGACGGAATATTTTCCAATTATTTACTTCTTATCGAATAATTTTTAGAGCTACCAGAACTGATCATGAAATACAGCATATATATATTTATAGGCTGTAATATACATAAACCTTGAACCTAATGAATTTCTCAAGAGATATAATCAAGTGAGTTTATTTAATCACGCATTAATCTGTTATAATACTAAAAAGTGGCCTGATCAATGCACGAAAGTCTTAATATAATTATTTGAAACATATTATTGAATTTTCAACCATTTCTTCACTAGCCAGTGTTAATTTCCAGTACACTCACACATTTAACCATTTTTCGCGTAAGCGCATTGATTCACAAGAAAATATTCAAATTAAATAATGTAAATAAGACGCTGAAAAATTTCATCATTTGTCAATATTGGCAGTAATTTCGATGAGAATTTTAAAAGAATAAACAAGCCAAGTTAATGAATAAATAAAGTGTTAAATATGTTAGTATCAAAAGTTGGTTTGCAGTATAGTTAGTATAATAATAGTTCAGAAGCCTCATGTGAGAACTACTAAGAGAACTACGTGTCTCGATCAGCAGTCAAACGAGCTACGGAACACAACAATGACCTGAGAAACAAAGAGGTTATGCTCACACAGAGACCGGTGCTCAGGAAGTCAACAATACAGCAGAGCCTACACGCGAGTGTCGTATATCCACCTAATGGTACTGCAATAACCTAACTACTCCATAATTAAAGATCCATTAAAGACGGCTGTGAAAGCCTTAGCTCGCCTTATCTTGCTTTATGGCGCCGGGGCGCAATTTTCGGGCGGCTGGCTGGTCATTTGTGACGGACACCTCGCATCTCACTCAACTCTTCGGCGCTAAAAAGAACAAGTTCGATCGAATGGAATTTGTACCAGGGCTAAAAATTAATCGTTTAGCAGCTATATTGGGTGGCTGGTCAGTGACACTGACGCTATAGCCGGCATTGGAAAAGGAATTAATACAATTCTGATTTCCATTGCAGTAAACATGATGACTATATCCAGGGGTTGGACAAAATAAAGAAAACGCTTGACATTTTGATATCGTAATTTTGAACATGTTATATAAACACTGAAAACGTGACATATTTTTATGTTTTACCATTTATTGTTGCTCATAATTGAAATTTTATCTTTGCACAGATATTTTTTATTACATTTTTTATATAACCTAACCTATAACCTATAAGTGGCAAACCTATCTAACTTTTCAAGAGGCCAAATTGTTGGTGCCTGTATGGCAAGTGCTAGTTTGACAGAATCTTCCCCAATGTTTGCCGTTTTAGGAGTAATGTCTCAGAAGTAAATGACTGCTTTTGAGAGAGCCGGAAAAACGTCCTTATATAGCAAAGCACAGGTCTGGCCGAAAGTCGAAGTTGTCCGAGAAAGACCGACGGTACCAATATCGAATTGTGAGGGACAATCGAAAGACCGCGGCTGTTAAAATTACTGCAGACCTCAATGGACACCTACAGAACCCAGTTTCCATAAAGAATATCCGCGGAGAGCTGCACAGATCTGGATTCTATGGAAGACCTATTAGAAACCCTCGGGTTTCATATACAAATGCTTCAAAACGTTTAGAAGGATGTAAAATCCTCATAAATTGGTCCCTCGAGCAGTGAAAAATGTGATTTTCTCTGACAAATAATCGTTTACCTTATTTCCAACCTCTGACCGCATTTACGTTGTAGACAGCCAAAAGAGTCATTAAATCCCGACTGCCTCCTCCCAACCGTAAAACATGGCGGAGGTATCTGTGATGATTAGAGGTGTTATTTCTTGGAAGTACGACGGATTCACGATTTCAGCAGATTTTACGTTGAATATTTCCAGCGGATCCAATGATTTCTTTTCACGGAAGAATCAACAATAGTGAGTATTTAGGAATTTTGGAGGACCAAGTTCATCCAATGGTTCAAGCTCTGTTTCCGGAGGAGAACGCTATATTTCAAGATGATAATGTCCCGATACAAACAAGTGGAATTGTTAAAAAATGGCACGAGGAACATTCCAACGAAGTTGAGCATCTCATTTGGTCACCATAATCACCAGAACTGACTATGATCGAGCATTTATGGTCGGTTTTAGAGATGCAAGTCACAAGTCGATTCCCGTTGCCATCGTCTTCAAAAGTGCGGGAAGGAGTTTTAACTGAAGAATAGGTCAAAATTCCTTTGTAAACAATGTACAACTTGTGTGTATCAATACCTCGGAGAATTGAGGCTGTAATTGCCGTAATAGGTGAAACTGTACCATACCAATATATAATTTGTGGATTGATTCAGGATTTGTTTAACTCTTATTTTATCGAAACCCTGTTATGATCGAGTCTCTCGAGCTGAGAATTGATTATGAGTGCTAGACAGAATTTGATTACGAGCGCTAGACAGCCAAGCGAGTAGGTTTTATTATTTTATTAAATTATGAAATATTAACATAGTGAATAAATAGGAATTATTAAAATGATTTAAAGCTCCTCTATTTCTCCAGAAGGTGTCATAGCACAATACTGCGCGTCGCATTAATTCCGACGATGACCAAAGGGAGCAACAGGGAACGTTTCAAGCGGAGGCGATGTTGACCGTCAGTGTAATTTACTCTCAACAACCGGGGATGGCAAACACCGTCGGGCAAAGAAGACATCCAATTTTAGTTTGTAAAATAAAAGTCTCTGGCAAAGACGCTCAGCACACCCATTCCCAGAGTTTACCTTCGTTATCGCGAAGCAAACAAATGCTGATGCTAGGAGTGCAATTAGCTTCTATTTGTGGAGTGAGATTATCAACATGGAAAACATTTCCTTGGATGACCGCGGCCGTTCATACTAAGAATGACGACTGGAAATTACGTCAACTAGACTGCAGTATTATTCTTAGGTGATTTATGTGGCTTATTCGGTTTACGAAGACACATTTTTTGTTTTCTCTACTTGTCTATATAAAAAGTTACACTACAATAGATTTAGGATCTTTTTAAAAAAAACTTTTTTGTTTGTTTCAATACACGAAAAATTTGAGCAGCGTAAGATTATTCTGTTTTAGTTCTTGGAAGAATTAAGCCGCTCGTCAGGGATCCTTTATATATAAAACACAGTTATTCTCCTTAAAATTTTTTTTCGACAATCTCTCATGCTTTTATGAAATAGTGGAAGCTTATAAATATTAATTTTGAAGTCATCCCGAAGAGACGTAACTCATTTTCCAATAACATAACCATTATTGTTAATGAGTAGCATTCATTCGTTAATCTGATTTCATTTTCTGAAAATTTTCATGCAACGATAAGAATTCTCTTCGTTGCTAAGGCACTGGCAGTGAATTGTTAAGATACTCAGCAGGCTTTTATCTTTTAAGAATCACGGCGCTATAAGATCTGAGAGTAAATCTGCAGCCTTAATGAGCATGCCATTAAGTCTTGGGGAAGATAAATGAAACTAGATGGACGCCCTCAGGTCTTGTCCCTTGAAAATTTCCATACTGGGTCTATACAGAGCTTATGTATGCAAAGAAGGCGTGATGCTCTTAGAACAAGTGCCTTGGGAATTTTTTAGTGCATGGAATGGCAGCTCCGACGAATACTTGCTGGTAAACCAATGACTTTTAAATGCCAGAGTTTGAATGAGGTCGGTGGGGAGTTTTTCTAGCAATCATGGATGTCAATGTGCGAGTTAGTGAATATATTTAGCGATGGCTCTATCATTTGAGATCTACTGAAGTATATCTGAAGACGGACGAACGATAGGCTGAGCATTGAAGTCAATTGTTGTTACTACATTATTGCGAGCGTTTATTTTATGAATACCGGTCTGTTATTAAAAAATATTTTCATGATAAATAATATATGTTCATGTTTTTTTGCAGTCGGTAATGATAAAAATGTCATGCATTTTATCGAACTTTTGGAGAAGAATTAATTTGAATGTAACCAATAAAAACGAAAGTTTAACCGAGCGCAAGGTTGGTACTGAATTAAAAAGAAAACATTGACTGAATCATCCTTTATATTTCACACGGCAGCGGTGCAAAAAAATGCCGATTTTTTCAACATAAATTCTTGTTTTAGCTTATGGGAATTATCTCCCTTTTTCTTGTCGATAAATTAAATTTTGTTATGTTTTCTTCCATGCACATAAGAGTTATTTAATCTGAGTTTATTACTATATAGGATGAATAAATTTTCATTAGAAATTCTGCGTGACGATTCAAAAATATTTTACTGTTCTCTAGTCTACTCTGGCTTAGTGAGTGGGGAACTGAACTGTCGTTCTGAAAAGCCTCTAGTGCCTGCCAATTAATGTAAACAAGCTTCATTATTTTGTTATAAAAACACTTTGAAATATCCGCTCATGTTAACCTGTTAAACATTCTCTGGCCTACTGCATGGTTAAAACCTGCAGCTAGGATTTCTATATCCTTCAGACGGTGAATATTGGCTACTTTATACTATAAAAGAGCTTTTACCCATTAAATCGTAATGCTGAAATGTTCTGCATACAAGATATTGTGAGAATTTCAGTTCAACAATATTACAATTGCAAACGCTTTGCAGTATAATTTTTCTTTTAGTTTAGCTGTGCGCTAATTCCAGCACTTCCTTTGGTTCGTCCAAACTGCTACATTTCTAGCACGTCGATCATATTTTCGAAGCAGGATCGAGCTTCAATTAATTACCAGCACACTTTACATTTACCTAGGAAATTATTTTCTTACCTGTACACTGGCAGTCTGCGGCCCTGCTTGTACCACAGCGCCAGGTACGTTACCTGTACACAGCCAGCCTGCGGCCCTGCTTGTACCACAGCGCCAGGAACGTTACCTGTACACTGGCAGCCTGCGGCCCTGCTTGTACCACAGCGCCAGGAACGTTACCTGTACACTGGCAGCCTGCGGCCCTGCTTGTACCACAGCGCCAGGAACGTTACCTGTACACTGGCAGCCTGCGGCCCTGCTTGTACCACAGCGCCAGGAACGTTACCTGTACACTGGCAGCCTGCGGCCCTGCTTGTACCACAGCGCCAGGACAGCGCGGTCATGGGGGTCGGGGGGTGCCAGCTGACACGGCAGCTCTACAGTGCCACCTGCCACGCCCAGCACCACCTGAGTTCCATCTGCAGAGATGGAAATGAATGTTCGTTAGTGGTTACGTTAAATAAACTTGTTCCCCTAGCAAACGCTGCGGTAACATTGTTCCCGCAGTAACATTGTTCGATAACATTGTGCGGTAACATTGTTCCCTTTGCAACGCTGCTGTAATTTGCAGCAGTCGGAATCTTGCATCCATTGAAATTATCGGTTGCTGCATGGTAATTTTTTGCATGCATTTAAGAATATTCTCCCAAGCTGAATTGATTTACGTGCTGACAAGTATTTATTGAAGTAACGATATTTGTAGAAAGATATTTTTAAAACGTTTTGATGAATCGAAATTAAGGAATCAATATTATTAAAATTTAGGACGGCCAAAATTTCATATTGTGTTCGAAAACGAGGAAAAATAGGAAAAGTAGCGGTTGAAACTGAGTTACTGGCAGACTTCTATCGCGAGTCCAGAAGTATGAACACATCATAAAGTAAGACTACACTGAGAGCATAAATTTATTCTTTTCCTCCACATATTCAAATAACAAAAGCATAAATTTGTATTCAGCTGTTTGATGAATTTTTAGCGTGAATTATCACAAAAGATACCGTCACCAACAATATGCTTGATCTTGTCGGTGCGGTTACACTTTAATTTCCATACTTTTTACAAATTTTTCTTATACAAATTTTTGAGGAGACAAATTTTTCGACCCTCGCATTCCACGAGCTCGTAAATCAAGCTGCAATTCGAAGAACTTACATTTTTTATGCTTTTTATTCTTTGATTAAACTATGCATCGTTGAAATGTGCTCTCTCTCTACTTCTTAATTCGCAAAGTCAACTTATGAAATTGTGGTATACTTTCTTTTAAAGTTAAAGAAACTTCTGAGAGTAAAGTAATGTGAAAGGTCCAGATTATTTTTTCAAAAATAGAATAAATTTTACTTAGATAAGAATATTTAGCTGCTAATTGAAAGTATTCGTTTCATTTGATAGAACATTATGTATCCGTACACAATCGAATGAGGTGGACTCGACAGCTTTTAGAATTTATATTGAGCAACGAAAAAGTTTTCATTTGTAATTCTGAGTGCATTTTTTCTGTATCTCGAAAAATAAATGTTGTTCCTCACAAGTCTGGAAATTCGTGAATAACGCTTCATTTTTGACACTAGAATTTAGTTCACATCTAAAATGTGCAAGGTATCACTAAAGTGTTTTCTACAGTTTTACGGAATTCGTGAATGTACGATGTTAAATCTTCGTTCATTTATCAATCTTTGTAACTTTGAATGAGAGCATTTTTATGAAACCACTAGAATTTTTAACTCAAGTTTACATGATTCGATCAGCAACATCTTGGCTATTGCTACCGAAGCTTCTCTTCCAATGAAACTTATTCATGGAATTGATCCGGGCAATAAATAACCAAGCTGCTCGGGACAGAAAATCCTGGACTAATTGAACAAAAGCAAACAGAGTTGTGTTGTTTGCCTCATTTTTGGTACGTTAAATTCAAGCTGGCATGACTATTATAAAGCTTGACATCAATACCAACCATTAGTTCGAAAAATATGAAATTTATTTATGATATTTGAAAGGTCCTATAGATGAAATTCAAATATGTTAAAATCGTTCAATTGCTTCAATCGTAGAGTTACTAGGAATATATTATGAAGAAATGCCCAGAAAAATGCACAAGATTATTTTTACGTAAATTCGCTGCCTATTCCATTCCTGTTCAGTGTTCAAAAAACGAGTGAATAACAGAGATTTGAAAATTTTTGAAAACATGAAGCGAGAGTAGAAATCTTAACAAAATGAAGCGGACAAATTTTTAGCTTTTCATCTAAACCCGTTTTTGTCTAATAATGTGCGGGGAATATAAAATTTTCTACAGGAAGCAGCAAAAGTGGGAGCTTGAAATTCCAAAACACTGACAATAATCTAGATATCAAACTATTCGATGTGTACGGCTGAATGAGATGTGTGCTCAAGTAGATTGCTAGAGAGATTAGACCCTCCCTCGATGCTCGGTTATTCTAGCACAAGTCTCGTAACATCATATCAACGTTCTTCGATATGTTCTGTTATAGACGGTAATGATCCAGTGATGTATTAAGAGGGTATTGAGAATATATCAATCGCTGATAAAAGAGCTAATCTTAAAATAAAAAAATTAGTATCACCCGAAAAAATGAGAAAAGCTTTCAATTCATATAAATTTTATTTCTAAAATTTATCTTGCTAAATTGTTTCAATCTGTTGATAAGGGGCCTTCGAAACGTTTCGTTAATGGTTTCGAAAACGTTTCCGTTAATGATATTTTGAATTTTTAAATATGCATTCATTTAAAGTTTCAGAGGAGTGGAAAGTGATGTAACTTATTACGAATCATTTTCATTCGGAATATTCACCGTCAATCCCATCGAATGGAAATTTTTTGAATCAAATTTATTTATTAAAAAATTTGGATGCAATTATAATCATACACGTTTTTTAAAAAGTTAGGCTGATCTGACAAGTTTCAATATTTCAGGGGCTCCCATGCTGACCTGTCAAGAATTTTATAAAAAGTCAGTATATTTGCATCTCTTAATTCGGAAATTTATTTCAATAAACGTTTGTTTTTGATTTCTGGAAGGCAATCATTGGTTAATTTCAACTGAGTTCCATTTGCACTAGAATCAATGCTTCTTTCTCTCTATGTTAATCTACCGGTCTTTTCAGCGCATTTTCTCATTTATGGAAAAAATGCCCTATTGTGCTCGTCATGTCCGTCCGTCCGTGACTTCACATTTTCGTCGACGTGAAAATGCGCTCTCTGTCACCCACTGCAGTGAGTACTGAGTTATATTTTTACTGCTTTTCCCATTCTCAATATTAATTATTATTCGAGAAAATGATATTTTTTCATAAAGAACTCTCTTTAATCACTCTCCTCGATAAAATTGTATTCCTGTTGTATTGAGTCATTAAAAATTCAAGACCGCACTGCTGACAAACGTATTCCAGCTCACAGAAGTAGCTTGGATGCGGTAAGCGACACGCGAGTTACAGGCTCGTCGTACGAGATTAATTGAAGTCAACCTTCAGTAAAATTGATGGTGGTTTGCCGTGCCACCGCGGCGATGCCTTACTGGCAGTGACAGCTTCTGGTAGTAATGAATTGTTGCCAGGGGAAGATATACTTACATGATATTTTGAAGAGAGTCACGTAAGTGTTGCATCTCGAGGATGTGCAAGATATTTATTATATAATGCAACATTTTTAACGAATATTACTCAGGGTATGAACTTTCTAGCACCTTAACAATTCAGTGATCTGGTTTATTAAGAGGGTCAAATTCATAATTTAATCATGCTTTTTTAAGGAGTCTGAGAATTATCTACATGATTGTAAATATAAGTGTAGGATGGGAATATGAAAAATATAACAATCAGTCAAACTTTGATCGATGTTCTACATAGCTACTAGTGCGGCGCTCATTTACCCAAAGTAACCGAACTCGAATTTCTTGTTTATGAATCATCAAGTTCATGAATCACATAGCAGTATGGTGGTAGAAATTGCAGAAACATGAATGTCTCATGTACGTTGTAATAAATACATTTTAAAGGGTATGGTGTGCAGTTTCATCCTTAAATCGTAAGCACGTATGATATTTTTTCAAGCTTATCACATCTGTAAATAAGATCGCTTACCTGCGATGGCTGAGAAGCATAGCAGAAGCAGGAGCAGAATCAGAGGCAAGAACGTCCGGGTATTGTCACCAAACTGACATTTTCTTTCTTCCAGTTGACCGCCTTTGCTGGAATTTTTTGACTTTCTTGATTTGGAAACAAAGTTCATAGCGAAGAACACCCCTGGGAAACTAAAGAAGTGGTGTTGCTTCGCAAGCAAGTCTCATCTGAACCATGAAAAGTTCGGCAAAACTTTGCGTTGTCGCACTATGTGTGAAAGTTGATTTCGAGGGCTGCCGTCGTTACGAAATTCATTACAAGAACGGAACTTTTTCCTGCAATGCAGTTCACGTAGATATTTTTCTTCTGGGCAATCATGCGTTCCTGAATCCAAGTCCCGCGATGGGAAAAATAAGTCCACGAAGTTTCCACAACAAGTTTGTGAATCCTCGCAGTCAGTTATGTCAGGATTTCCTCTAAATATGTTTTTCTTTAAGAAATCGAAAATGAATTTGTCGTCATGAAAGCTCGTGCGTCTCCAAAACTTTTCAACATCATTTCCACATGAATCTTTATCCTGAATGTTCGTTAGAGATTTTATGGGAAGGTAAACACGTTGACAATTGTCACCATGGAACTCCGTTTGTTGTACATGATCGAGACTATCACTGACTAACATTCCGTATGAAAGTGTTGAATGTTTTCGAGTTGCACTTCAAGGCAAATGCCCGTCATATCCTTCTGCCTGAAAAAGAGAAAAAAAATGCTTTAATTAGAAATGAAAGTCAAGACTGATTACTTGAGCTGATACAACACTCGAGCAAAATTAATTAGGCCTTGCAATTAAGAGATTAATCCTAGTACGCTGCTCGTGTCAGGTTCCTTGCCACTCAAAGGCCCTGTTGAGAATAAAGGCTGAATTATTGCCGGCCTACTCATGCAGTAGGGTCGGCCGAAGGAGCGACGACCATAATTCAGAGTAGGGAATAGAACATGTAGTTTCATTCCAGGCATGATGCAAGGCTTGATGTTTGTACTTGGCTTCAATTAAGCTGTAGAAAAAGAAAGGTTTTCAAAGAGATATCTGGTCATTAATTAATCTCGCAAGATTTTCTTTTCACATCAAAAATTTTTTTCTGGTATCCCAGAAACTGCGTACCTTTCAAGAAAATGAGGAACAAGTTTT